CGATCGCCCCGGGGCGGCGCCCCAGCGGAGCTCGCTCGGCCCCGGCCGCTGCCGCCCCCTCGGCCATTAGCGGGCGGCGAACGTCCGGGGGCTTCGTCGTTTGTCGCTTGAATTTAACCCCCAACCCGCCCCCGGCCGCCCCCCCCCCGGCCCCCCCCGCCCCCCCCCCCGGCCCCCCCCGCCCCCCCCCGGCCCCCCCCGCCCCCCCCCGGCCCCCCCCGCCCCCCCCCCCGGCCCCCCCCCGGCCCCCCCCCGCCCCCCCCCGGCCCCCCCCGCCCCCCCCCGGCCCCCCCCGGCCCCCCCCGCCCCCCCCCCGGCCGCCCCCCCCCCGGCCCCCCCCCGCCCCCCCCCCCGGCCGCCCCCCCCCCGGCCCCCCCCGGCCCCCCCCGCCCCCCCCCCGGCCCCCCCCGCCCCCCCCCGGCCCCCCCCGCCCCCCCCCCGCCCCCCCCCGGCCCCCGCCCCCCCCGGCCCCCCCCGGCCCCCCCCGGCCCCCCCCCTCGCCCCTCCCCCGGCTTATTTATTTATTTTGTTCGCCGCAGCGCAGCGGACGGAGAACGTGGCGCGCTCGTTAACGTCTTGCGCGGTGCCGCGACCGGGCGCAACGCGGCGCCTCGACGAGCAGGAGGCTCGCTGCACTACGTCGTCGTCGTCAAATTCGTTAAACGGAGAAGGGAAACAAATCCTCATTTTCAAAATGAGGATGTAACCCGCCGCTTCGGCGGTCCCTGCCGTGATGTTCGTATGGCCGTTACGTAAAGACGGCGGCCGGAGCTGCGGTTACATTTCGACATCGCCATGTAAATCCATTGGCGTTGTCGTAAGTAAAATGAAACGTAAGACGCGAAGCTCGCAGGAACCTACTCAATTGAGGATTGCCTAAGACGCGTCGTTGCGATGAGGCACACTCGCGCCCTGTTGTCCGCAAGGGCCATGACTCAGACGCCGTGCCACCACTACGAGCCGTTGCGTTGAAGCGTCATGGTAAAGTCGACTAATACGAACTTGCCTGTGACTACATTGCTAAATCATATTATCATCGTCGTCGTCATCACGGAATGTTTCGTGAACAAATATCTTAAATCTCATTCTCATGTTCTCAATAGAGGCATCGAATCGCGCGAGTAAGAATCTGTTAGTTTGACTTTGTCGATGTGGCATGGGATTGGGTCACCTGACCCGAGCGTTGATTGTAAATTTCGATACTCGCGACAGCAGCATTCATAATCGATCCTCTAATCCTAACGATTTATTGAATCAATGTTTTTTTTACGAAACAATGCAGCCCGAATTCCCTACCACTCAATAACCAAACATGCACCTGGTATCCTCAAACCAGTTTATTTCTGAAAGCTAAGCAGGGCTGAGTCTGGTTAGTACTTGGCACAGGTGCTGTAGGCGTGGGTCTGCGAGGTGCGGCGGTGCCGCGTGTGGACAGCCCGGTCCGGGGTACGTTCCAGGGTTCTCCGGGTTCCTCGCACATAAAGCCCAATACCGATCAATGGAATTTGTATTCTTGGTTCTTTCGGTAAAGTCGCGTAGAAGGGACTTTACCGAAAGAACCAAGAATATTAATCCCTGCAGTCACGATAGCTTTAAATCGAAATTCAATGGAATTTGGTCAAACGTCCGAATGTGGCAGGGCCCTTAAAAAAAGTCGCGAGACTTGGTTGAAGTAAAGGCCATGATTAGTATTATTAGCATCATCATCATTACTCTTAAATATTAATAATCTAAATAATATGAGGAGTCGTATAGCTGCAGACCCCCCCTCCCGCCCTGGCAAAGCAATGTGCTCATGGAGCCTGACTGCTGCTGCTGCTGCCCCCTCTCCTCCTGCTAGCAGACCGCCAACCGCGCGCCCTCCGCTCCCCCCAGGGCTCACTGTGACATTTTTACCGTGTAAAGGTCACGCCCTGTCAGGGCTCAATGTTCCACTAATGCGGCTGCTGCTGCCGCTGCTGCTTCTAGCTTCTAGCAGCAGCAGCAGCGCCGCTGCAGACGGAAGGCGCATCGACGAATTTTGAGAGAAGCGGCCATCATCGCGGCATTCGGAGCCGCCCTTGTGGATCACGCGTAGAGTGACCCAGGTGGGCTCTCCAAACCTTCATCAGCGACTCCAATTTGTAAACAGGAGTGCGCGGCCACTAATAAAATTGGTCGGGAAAGTGTTAATCATTGGGTCTGCTTTGCCGGTCTCTTGATAAAAGTAGACGCAAAAAAATGAGGATAAAGCCCGTAGTGATTTTTATAAATTGCACAACATCACATGTCAGCCCTTTTACAACATTTGACATGTTTTTATTTCAAAGGTTCCGAAAGCCTCTGGCTGGGACACATGACTCATAAAACATAGTCACACTGGTGGAGCGCTGTTAGCTATACAACAAATCACCCTGGCGGAGGACTTTTTGGCAAAAGATAATCTCACGGATGCATTTCTTTCTTTAACTAATACGTCCATCATGAGAAAGTGTGACTGCAGTAACTCGGCGAGTTCCAGCGAGGTGAAACGGAGGCCCTGGCGAACCAGGGGATGTCCATTAATGAGCCATATCGATGTTCCTCGTCCCGCTCCAGGCTCGCATGCCCCCCCCCCCGCCCCCTCCGCTCCTGTTATCGCTTGCTACTCGACAGGCAGTCAAGGTTCGTGCAAAGAAAAAAGCAAAGCTGTTGGAACGTTTTGAAGAACGGGGGGAGGTGGAAAAAAAATATTCAGCAGAAATGATTCTTTAAAAGATTTTGCTGTGGCCAGTAAAGGTGGGACATTCGCAGATTTGTGAGAAGTGGCTGCGGCCTGGGGAAGCATTCATCCAGCAGTGGACTGACCGCGGCTGCTGATGAGTAACGGTGGGACATGGCAAGGGTTCGGTCGATGGAGACCCGAGCTGCTCAGATTCACGGAAGCTGTGCCGCCGCCGCCGCTGCCGCCGGGCGAGCGTGTGGCGCCGCGTGCGGTATTAATCACCGGCCTCCGCCGGGCTTCACGAGCCTCGCGTGTGTGGATGGTGGTGTGGTGTGGGTGGTGGTGGTGGTGGTGTGGGTGGGTGTGTGGGGGGGGAGGAGGAGGAGGAGAAGGCACGTCCCGGGCAAGTCTGCCGCCCACCCCGGTTGTCATGGCGTCCGTATCCAGCCCGGCACACGAAGGACACTCGGAGAGAGAAAAAAAAGCGCGGTTGGGGGAAGAGGAGAAAAGAATTCGGCAAAAAATAGAATAAAGCAATGGAGGGGGGCTGCTGCGGAGGCCGGGGTTTATTTTTTGGGGGGGGAGAGGCAGAGGAGAGGAGCGCGGGAAGGGGCGGTAACGGGCGCCGTTGCTAAGCAGCTGCGCCCTTAATGAGTCGTCCTCGCCGATACCGCCACCGCCGCCACCGCTGCCGCCGCCGCCGCCGCGACTCGTTTGATGGACATGAAAGCGAGCGAGGAGCGGGGAGCAAGGAGCGGGGAGCGGGGAGGAGTCCCGCGCAGCGCCACCCGAGCGGCGAGCGGGACGGCCGCGCTGCCACCCGCTCCGTGAGTGCGGGGTCAGCGTACAGGTCACATGATGCCCCCCCCTTCCCCTTGCCCCCCAACTCCACATTGCCACGAAGCGCCTGAAGGCATTGTGACCAGAATGTATGTAAAAAGAATGAGGCTACATTCGAGAGACTTGAACTTATCCGTGTGGCGCGTGAACGCACGAGTAAATAAGGAAAGAAATTGCCCGTTCAAAAGATGAAATAACGAGCCTCGGTTTGTTTTTCAAGACCGTACGAGATAACCCCAATTAACGCAAGAAAATAAAAAAAATCATTGGCTTCACTTGCCGAGACTTTTTTTCTTTTACAAGTAATAGTAATAGTTTATAACGTATCTTTATTTAGCCAGGAAATCTTCAATTAGGCGGCAAGTAAAACAAAACTAGTGTGGTTCGTGGTGGGGGAATGGTGGCACAGCGGTTAGCCCACTGCGCTATGAATCCGGCCACTTGAGTGGAGAATTGTATCTGAACCGGTCTTGACCGGTGTGAAGTATCGTCAAACAACCACCATGACCACCACAGCATGGGGATGCATTCATCCAGCAGTAGATTAACAAAGGGCTGTGCAGCATATTCATTTGTAGACATTTTTTCAATAATTGATCGCAGGGAAGTTAAGACGGGCACGAGTGCTGCGGACCCCTGTTGTCTTGCGGGAGGAGTTGGACTCCCGTGGTCAGTGCGGTGACAGCGAGGCCGAGCGGCGAGGCGGCCGTCACCGTCACTCGCCACCACCATGCCACACCTTCCGGCTCCCACAAACCCGCACCACAGGGCCCACGGTACCCACTGTAGTGCGGGCACCACAGTGGTGCGGGCACCATTGCCCGTGGTGTCCACTCACTGGACGTGTTCCAGCCTCGTGACACAATCCACGCGGACGCCTCCCCTCTCCCTCACCGCAGGACCCCGACCCAGGACACTTCCGCCCTTCAGCAGCATTCGAACCTCTATCCTCCTCCCTCTCTCCTCTCCCCCTCTCTCCCCTCCCCCTCTCTCCCCACGTTCTCCATCACCCCTCACTCCCCTCTCCCACCTTCCCTCTCCCTGCACTCTCCTCCATCTCCCTTCCCTCTCCCCATGCTGCCCTCCATCTCCCTCCCCTCGCACGCTCCGTCCCCAAGTCACCCCGTGATCTCTCTTCTCCGACCCCCCCAAGGCTGCCGTCCCTCCCTCCCTGTTGGGGGAGGGGGGCCCACCTCAACCCAACAAGCGGCGAGTAACGATCCATTGAACAAAACCGATTCTCGTGCTGACGATGCACGCGTCGAACCGTGGCGCGCGCAAATAGATTACACGATTTATAATCCCTCCAAATCGAACCTACATTATGTCACCTGGAATGTACCCATGTGTCACATCAGATCTTGGAAACTAAGCAGGTTTGAGCCTGGATAATGCTCGGATGGGCGACCTGCAACCGCTGGAGTGTAGGTGGGGGTGGCGAGGCAGGGGTGGGATGAAGGTTTTGTGCGTCACTCACCGCCTGCAGGTCGAGGCGGATGCGCTTGGCGGCGTTCCTGCTCTCGCTCTCGCACGCCATGGCCAGGATGTTTTCGGCGACGGCCGACGTGAGGTGCGGGGGCGTCGTCCTTGACTGCTGCTGTTGGTGACAGCGTGGTGGAGGATTAGCAATGGCAGCGGCGGCGGGGACGGCAACAACAACAATAGCAGCAGCAACAATACGAGCGAGAGAGGCATTCGTAAATCAAAATAAGCATTCAGCCTTTAAAAAAAAAATCTAAATTAAAGTCATGGTAGTTATTTTTTTCATTCAGAGCACGGTGGCTGCTGGGTGGCTTATGGGATTAACGGGCCCTGTCTGCATTCTTAGGGCTCTCTTTGAGCCCTGTGGCACTCAGGGTAGAAACTGAGATCAGCTCCCCCAGGGCAGGAAGCTTCTGATATTTTACAGCAGTGAAGCCGATGACGATCGTGCATACAGACTCCCGCTCCGCAATTCGTATTTGCATCTGGAGCTGGCTCCTCCTGTTGCGCTGCAGGGGCTGTCGGCGCTGCAGCGGTCAAGGCGCAGATTTAGGTTTCATTCCGCCTCGCGTGCCAAAACGTTATCACGCTTATTGATTCGCGCGGCGGTGATCTGGGTCCAAGAGGTCGCTAGGTGGGTGCTGTCGCGATGTCGTTCGCCGTGGGACCCGCACCCCGGCGCAGCGATGGATAAAAATCGGAATGCTGAAAAAATGAAAGCATCCTCCCGTGGTGATGCAAACGAGTCCAGGGACAATCAAACCCGACTGATCGTTCTTGTTAAACTGCAGTCTCAGCACAATCGGACAGGACACGGAGTGAACCTCAAAACCCCACCATCAGTTAGGCCAACGGCACGGGCCACGCCGACACTCGGCCTCCACTGCGGCCCAACCACACGCCGATGCCTATCTTGACGAAGTCAACTGAACGTGTGCACATGCGCTCATGGATTAGCAGCAGCAGCAGCCATGCTCTATTCTCTGCTGGATGAAGGCCTCCCCACATCATCGCCATGCATTGTGGCGCTGCGACGCCACAACCCATCTCTCCCGCTCCTGCGCGTGAGCTCATCTCATCGCTCCCTCTCCGCAGTGGCCATCGTTTGGCTGCCATTCAATCACCAGTCTTGCCCGTCGGCCATCATCCCTTTTGGCCACTTTGTGTCCTGCCCAAGGCCACTCACTGTTCTCCACATGCAGTAAGATGCCTGTCTATTCATCAGCGTTCCTCCCTCCATCTCTCGGTGACATTCCAAGCAACGCATCTCTCCACGCTTCTTTGCACACTCCTCAGGTTTTGTTTAATTTTCTTTGTCAGTCTCTGCATGTCACAGAAAGTAATATGCACCGGTTAAAAACTTTCTTCGCGAGGCACATTACTACATTGCTTTCATGTTTCTTTTTTCATTTCTATATTATTATTAAGGTCTGGTTTTGTATGAGGTTCACTGAAACAGTTTCCAACAAGACAAATGCCTTCCATTAGTTGACAAAACCAGGCGCGATGATATTTGATAATTATCATTTGATCTTTTGAGAATCTGGTCGATGGCACACATTTCGTCCATGTGGTAGAACTATTTTGCGAACCCAGCGTGCTCGTGTGGCTGGTCGGCCTCTGAATTGTGCACTCTTCGATCGTTGTGAACGATTCAGACGCGATTTAGACGGAAGCGGGAACAAGAGTCAGCTGGCAGAGGTGTCAATCCACGACTGAGGCACAGCATTTAATTACCACGTAAAACATTCCAGAACTTTGTTCGCTCATTTTGATCCAGCAGCTGGTAAGTCAATACAACACTCCACAGCTATATGGCCGGGGCCAGTCTATCTTCGGCACAGCTATTGTCAACTCATAAATAAGTGGTACTTATGTGCAGGTGATGATGGGCTGAGTCGGCTCTTTGCCTAGGATTGGAATTCGCAAACTTCCAGTTTTGAGTCAAAGCCTTCTGCCAGTGTCACCCGGCGAGAAAAATACAGTTGTATCAACACAACAATTCGGAAGCGGGGAAAAAAACCCAATTAAACAATATTTTTAGAACAAATTAATTCCGGCTCCCTGGTTGCGATTGCCCGCGACCCGAGCAGGGGGACATTGCGAGCATTACGAGGAGGGCAGGTGGCCACAGAGCGTCCTGCCCCTCTCCTGCCTCGCTGGCCCTCCCGCGTGAGTCCTGCAGGACGCACCTCCCCGCGGTGCGGCTAATGTCCTCGCAGCTCCGCGCCACGCGGCCCCGAGGGGCCCCTCGATGCGCGACTACGGCCTGACGGACCTTTGCCCCGGGAAATGAAGCGACGCTCCACGGCCACGCGGCGCCAAGGCGGCCACTCGCCCACACGCCCGCTCGAGGAGCGACGTTGGAGCAGCCGCGTTTTGCGGCCGCGCGGATAAAGAGCCGCCACGATCTGCCGCGATCCGCCGCGATCCGCCGTGGCGAACGCACTCACGGCCGAGAGATATCGTCCCATTGAAAATTCACTGGTGGTAGCCGCAGACACGTGAGCAATAACTGATTGTGAGCTTTAAATAACCTGAAGGACCTTATACCCAGCGTGGTGCTTTAGGGCATTAAAAAAATATATATATATGGCCCTTTCTCCAGTGGGTGTCCACAATCGGCACGAGGCACCGGCGCAATTACTGGGGCGAGTTCCCTTTCAGTGCCGCCGCGCACTCAATTCCGTGGCAATTTACCGGGGAAATGTGCACGGGCCAAGCCATAGCCACCACCACCACTGTCTCCACGACCGCCACTGCCACCATCACCACCGCCATCACCATCACCACCACCGCCACCAACATCACCATCACCAACACTCCCAACACCACCGCCATCATATAAAAGGGGACGTGGGGTGGCGATAAAAACCGTGATATTTCTCTCCGGCCTCGCCCACCCAACAATGAGCGCGTACACTCGGTATTCTGCTCCCCGTTGTGTTTTATTATTCCAAAACGCGTTCGTGTTTGAGAGACCGCCCGCCCGCCCGGCCGGCCGGGGTGAATGCTGCCCAGCTCATCCCACGCCCTCCACCCCCCATAATCCGTGGCTCACAAGCAAGCCGAGTCCACTCGTAATCACACCAAACGCTTTGTGTGTGCGTGGCCCGTGGTACTGGCCGGGTTGCTGTGAGGCGAATATTACGAGCAGGCAGCAGGCACACAGGCAGCCACCCCCCACCCCCGCATGCCACACTTCATTATTAATGCCACGGAATACCGCCAGGTAAGCTCCAAGCGGCTCCACAAACCACACGTGCAGACGTGGCTCTGCCCTCCTCGCTCTGTTGTCTTGAGCAGAGTGCTCTCCACGCGCATCATTGATGCTGCATCCACGACTCGCCGCGGCGGTGCTGACGAGCATGCAAGAGACGGATCTCACTTGACCAACGTTGCCCCACGCTCGGCCCCGATAGCCAAGACCCGAAGCTCAATTTCATCCGGCACACCACATCCAGTACACCGCTCCCTTTGAACGTGGCTATGAATATTCACGTGCATACCTCAGTCGACTCTGCAACCTGGAATATATATCCACAACAACAATAACAACCGCCATTCGCCACTAAGTGGCAGTGACGTCACCACGTCAAGGCCACGTCAAGTGTCGAACACCCGCTGGCAGGAAGTCACCGGACAGACCCAGGTGCCCTGGGTTGACTGAGATATATTTATCCACATCCAGCACACCACATCGAGAATACCTCTCTGTTATAAAGTGCCCAGTAAACATGGAATGTTGGGCCAACGATGTTGCAACAGTTTCAGCCACGTGACAACGCTGGGCCAATGTTGGCACGTTTGTCCGGTGGCTGCCAGAAGTCCCGTGCGCCACATCCTTGCAGCGTGGAAAGCGGCAGAGTCGTACGCCCCCCACGCCTTGAGAGCCACGACGACTCTCAAGGCGGATCTACGTGGCGGTGCGGGGAGCGCCTTAAACACACCGGGGGGGGGGGCAGTGGGGGGAGGTGGTGATGGGGGGGGGTGGAGCTGTAACCTCGTTTGGGATGAAAAACACTTCCAATATAGTGCCTACTGGATTACCTCCGGTAATCTCTGAATTTTTTATTTTTGTTTGTCAGCTTGACCCGTGACATTTTGGATTCTAAGAGGCTATTTTGCGGTGCTTCATGAAGCAAATTAGCAACTCAGAAGCGCGAGCAGCGAATACGCCCAGGATGTAATGACCCTACTTTAATTTTCGCAAACGTAAATTTGCTACGTGTGGGTTTGTGTGTCCCGATTACATTCAAACTAAACACATTTTTTCTATTTTCCCAGGTAAGGCCTACTGAGCTATGTAGCTTTTTTTCAGAAGTGACCTGGCCACAAATTATCGCTCAACAACGTGGCTTATCACACGGGAATTTATAGCTGCCAAATACTCTAAACACGTGTTTCTAAAAAATCCATGCGGCCATGGTGAGAGAGAGAAGGAGACATGCAATCTCCAAATATAAAGCAGCAGGCATATCAGGATCGGGATCAAACCCACGACCTCCTGTATACCAGGAGAAGGAGTTAACATCTCTAGGTCTTTGTAGGTCGCTGCAATGCGGCGATCGTTACGCTGCTTCACTCGGGAATTTGAGTCAAGGTGAGACGTGACCGTGCGACTAGCCCACAATGCACCACGCTACCGTTACAATTCGTTGTGTGTTCCTTAAAATAATATTATGCTTATTAAGCACCGTAGTGCGTTTTATGTTATGTCAAGGTAGTAACGATGAAGGCAGTTAATTTCCCAGTGATTACAAACAGCTGCGTAATGTGCATTGCAATAAATAATAGGCGTGGTATGATTTGAATCCTGGTTGGGGATTGACTCAGCCTATCTTTCCTCCGGGGTCAATAGAATAAATACAACTTTCTGGGGAAATCAACGCCGGTTGTCCTCTGGGATGACTCGCCCACGCCTTAGGAATGTGGAATTCACACCATCGGGTCTGCAGGGCTCACTTTGGCTTTGGAAAGATTCACCCTTCAATCCCGGCAATTTTATGCCCGCGTGTAATTTGCGATGTTTGGAGGGAAGGTTAACCTGCACTTCTTGTTGCAGATCATCTAAAAGAACGACAAATCACTGAGCGTTTCGCGGAGCGGCAACTC